GTGTTTTGCAGATTCTACATTATTCTTTAGCATTGCATAGTATTCCATTGTGTGTATGTACCATAGTTTGGTCATCCATTGCTCAGTTGATGGACATCTAGGTTGTTTCCATCTTTTGGCTATTGTAAATAGTGCTGCTATGAACATGGGTGTGTATATATCTGTTCTTGTCATGATCTTGCCCTTTTTCAAAAAGCCAAAGTTTTAAAAATTAATGCCATATTTACTTGTGGTCTAGTAAGTCAAGTGGTGTTTTTTTATACTTGTTAAATTTTCTAGAAATGTTGATGTAAATGATACAGACCTCGTTTTATTGTATTTCACTGTACTGCACTGCAGATGATTGCATTTTTCTTTTTACAAATTGAAGGTATGTGCAAATCTGTCGGTACCATTTTTCCAACAGTGTGTGCTCACTGTGTCTCTGTGTCATATTTGGATAATTCTCACACTATTTCAAACTTTTTCCTAATGTTATTGCACACTTAATAGACTACAGTATAGTGTAAACATAATTTTTATATGCACTGGGAAACCAAAAAATTCATATTAGTTGCTTTATTGAGATAGTCTGAAATCCAACCCACGATATCTCCCAAGATATGCCAGTATGTGGAGTATCGGAAACAGATAATTCTTTGAAGTCAGAATTATCTGTTTGAATTCCATACTGTTGCTAACCAGCTGTATGTTCTTGGGCAAGGTACTATAGTGATTTCTAAACACAGTTTCACCACAGATGTCACCTAAGGAATTAAATATTTCTAGCTATCCTAGATCTAGGAAGTCAGAATTTACAGGTGTGGATCCAGGGATCTCTATTTTAGAAGCAGGCATTGTTTCATAAATAGTATTTGGAAACAACTTAATTTGGATACTAAAATTTCACAGGGTGAAACATTAAGTAAAATATTATGTAAGGTATCTGTATAATTGTTGCTGAGATTTTTAGAAAACTGTGTGTGTCTATATGTGTGGTACATATATATGTGTGTTGAGAGAAAGACTGGAGGAAGACACAGGAAGAACACGCTATTATGCTTCCACCCATCCCCTTACCTCCCTGTGGGGACAGAGTAGAGATGAGGCTTTGTTGTATTTTTTTAAAACTAATCTAGACTTTTTCTCCTAGGAAACGCAAGTATTTTCACCATAACCAACTGGATTGGGATGAACATAGTTCTGCTGGTAGATATGTTAGGAGACGCTGCAAACCATTAAAGGTAAAAGAATAAAAGATTAAAAGTAAAATAATAAGTTTTCACTCTTTAATGTCTTTCTAAACATATGTTTTATTTTTCTTTCAGGAATTTATGCTTTGTCATGATGAAGAGCATGAGAAACTATTTGATCTGGTTCGAAGAATGTTAGAATATGATCCAACTAAAAGAATTACCTTGGATGAAGCATTGCAGCATCCTTTCTTTGACTTATTAAAAAAGAAATGAAATGGAAATCAGTGGTTTTACTATATACTTCTCTAGAAGAGATCACTTAAGACTGTGTCAGTCGACTAAACATTCTAATATTTTTGTAAACATTAAATTATTTTGTACAGTTAAGTGTAAATACTGTATGTTTTGTATCAATAGCATAATTATCTTGTTACGCAGATACGGTCTTGGTAATGAATGAAATATATAAAAGTTAAAAATTAATTTTCTTTTTTGAGCTTAACTATCATTTTTAAAGACTTTTGGAATATACTTTGTGTTCAGTGATAAATGTGATTGCTCTTGCCTTTTGTATGTGGAGGTTGACTCTTTAAAGTGATTTTTTTGAGTAAAAGGAGATCTTGACTACTTTGTTCTTAAGTGAATATTTTTTATAAGCCTCAAATGTAGAACTTTTTAACTTTAAAAGTCTTTCCTGTAATTGTTGAGCAGATAGTAAGTATTATTAACTCTAGGTGGTACACAAGCAGGTATTGGAAACCAAAATCCATAGGAAAATGCCTGCTGTGGGGAATGTTATTAAATTGTAAGTACTGTATTCTTTCTCATTGGGTGATACTAGTGGTGATGAGTATACATTAAAAAGGTGTCCAGTTTGTCTACCTTGATTTTAATAAAACTACATGCAAACTTCATTTAAGAGTAAAGTCAAACTGGAAAGTCAGATTTGAGAATCGTATTTGCTAAGGGCTGTTGGATGAGTTGCAAGCATATAAATAGTGATTCTTATGACTCAAGTTTCAGTTTTTAATGCTAGATCCTAAAGAGTCTTGAAAATGTCTGACATCTATTTCCTTACCAAGTCAAGTGAATGTACACATCTCAGCCTTTGAGAATTAAGGTCTATTATTAAGCAGTTTATCTTTGTGTTAATCCTTCTGGAGAAAAATAAGGATTTGATCAGAAAACACTTTTTTAGGAAGGAAGGACTGTACAAGTTTCTAGAAACTGGTTGGTTCACATGAACTTTTTGACTTGTCAATACTGTTCTTTTGATAGCTGTTTTCACATAAGCACTACATAGTAAATGTTACTTAAAAATCTGTTGATATTGTTAAGTCTGCCAGGTAGAAATTTATTTCTAGAATTCATAATTCATATACAGGTTGTTTCTCATGAAAAGTGTCCCCATTTCACAAGTGCATTACACCAAAGATTTAAGTTTTATCTGTTAATGTATTTAGACATAAAATACAAGGAATTTTCTTGTATAACAAACAATAAAACCATTTTAACTGCCCTGTGTTACTATCCTGGGGCAACATTGGCCAATATAGGAAAACCATGTTCCTAAAGTTGACTAATAATTTGGGAAGCTGAAACAAGTTTTATCATTCACTACATAAATTATGTTTAGGCCTCTGGTATAATCCACATACAGTGAATGTATCTGCAGAATAAGGAAACTGTATCATAAGGCATGTTTTTTTTAAGGAAGTCCAGAGTTTTATGTAAAAGTTGATTCTTCCTGAGCCTAGCCATCTTGCTAGCCATTGGTGTGCTGTGCTTTATCTCCTCCGATTTCCTTTCTTCCAGTGCTACTATTACCTACGCCTCTTTCTGTCCTTTCCCCAACAAGTGCTTTACTTTCTTAAGTTAACTTCTACTTTCTGTCCATCAAGAACTCATTTCATCAGAACTGACCTCAGTGAGGATATAGGGGGAGAGGAAAATATAACACATTATTTCTTGACTAAGAAGTCATTGCTAACCTTCTTCCCTTCTGAAAAATGTTCTTCACAAAGGTACTCGCTAATTCTTAGGCCTAATTAACAGAACTTTAGGAATGAAAGTGAATTTTAAAAAATTAGCTAGATGGAGAAATATTTGAAAGTTAGGGTGTTTATCATTCTGGGCTTGCTATATGAATATCTGTGGTCAACCTTCCTGTCCCTCTTTGATTTCTTTGCTGCCTACTCTTAATTGCCTTTTTTTTTTTGTAAACTCACTTTCTGGAATCTCCCAGAGTTTTTGAGATTTTTTGTTGGAAGCTTAAGTATTAAAAGGCAAAGATTCCAAATGGCTAGTATATGACTATGAATCATTTGCAGTGTATGTATTTATTTTTTCTTAAAAAATAATATGATACTTCAGTTTATTTCTAGCAATTTAATTCCATTTAGTGTTGGTTTTCTTTATGAGGCATTTTGTAAAGTGTAGCTAAATTGTTTATTTCCAGTATTTTCCCTACTGTTTATTTTCTTGAGGTATTCGCACTCATCCATCAAGACTTTGAGAGTAGATGAATAAAACTGATACCTACTGTTAGTAGAGTGACAGTAGCACAGAAATTATCCTGTGAAGTTTTTATAGTTCATTAAATTAAAAAAAAATAACTATTCTTCTGAATAATGACTTGTCCAAGAATGCCGATAATTGTAGCTGATTTGTGATTTGGGAAATCAAAAACTTGAACTGTGTTTTGTTTTGTTCACAGCTTTACTGTGAAATAACTTATAATGTTTGTAATAGTCTTATTACGTGGGTTTCATTTTTTTTGCATTTTTATTTACTACAATACTGATAATGTAGCTTTAACCATTAAAATGGTTAATATGGTTTGACCATTTGAAAACATGTTATTCTGTTTAAGCAGAAACCAATATTTAAGACTTCATCTGGACATCTAGAATGAAATGCTTTTCCTGTTAAGTAGCCTTAGTTTTTAATTCCTTCATTTGAAAATTCTGATTCTCACAAAATATTGTGCAAGTAAAACATAAAATTGAACATCCATTGCTGATTACTAACATGCTACATTCTGAATATTGTGGTCTGAATGAAATCGCTCTAAGTCAGTGCTAGTCAACAATTGCAGACTTAAAGGTCTTGACGTAGTTTACTGTTTTATGTAGTTGGTTGATTGGTTCTGCTTGTTCTTTTCTAAGTAGAGGAGGGTGTAAAGCTCAAAACTCAGGTTTACTTTCACAGATGCTCTAGCAATTCATCTTATTGAGTACATGGTCAGAGGTGGTTGTTATGTGCCGTCGAGTCGGACCCAACTCATAGTGACCCCTCCTTGGGTTTCCGAGGCAGTATCACTACAGAAGTGATTGCCCCATCTTCCTTCCGAGGAGTGGCTGGTGGGTTTGAACCGCCAGCCTTCTGGTTAGCAGTCAAGTGTCTTAGCCACTACGCTACCAGAGGAGCACTCCCTAATGTGAGTGCACTTAGTTTAAGTCATTTGGGGGACTTAGCTAGTTCTGCATGAGTTGGAATTGACAGCAGTGTTAGTTATGTTAGTGATTAATTTTTTACTGAGGAAATACAAAAATCAAATAGAATCATGAGCCCTCTACACATATAACCCAGCTTCAGAAAGTAAAAACATTTTGCAAATTTTGTTTTATCTGTTCCCCGACTGTTTTCCCTGTTATATTTGAACACAAATGCCAGATTCATACCGTTTCACCCATACTATTTCTATATGTATCTCTTAACAAATAAGGATTTGTTTTACATAATCCTAATGCAACTTGATGGCAAAACAACAACAACAATGCCATTATCATCTAACAGTAATTCTTAATCGTCTGGTAGACCATACTTAAATTTCCTGATTGTCAGGATAAAACAGTTATTTTATAGTTGGTTTGTTTGAATCAGAACCCAGTCAGGGCTCACACATTTCTAATATATCTCAGGTCTCTTAATCACTATTCATGACCTTTTTATCATGTTATTTCTTTGCTAATTAGTTTGTTTAAAAAAAAATTCTCAAAGAACTCCCCATATTCAAGAATGATGTCTTTTCATCTAGTTTCCATTTCTCCTACAACCTGATAGTTAAATGGAAGTTTTTTTTTTTTTTTTTTAAATAGAATTCCATCTAATAAATACTGTTAGAAAAATATTATGTTGTAACTCAATGAAATAATGGATCCAGGCACCAATCAATAGAATCCAAAATCATTGGGCAGATCAGGTTGACAACGTCTGAACTCACTAATAATAGGAACCTCAGGTTCACAACCAGGTGATGTGCTTCCTGAGGTGATACAGTGGAAGGTATATAGCACCTGTAAGGTTTAACTGCCTAAATTATTTATTTAATTGAACCTGAATCTAAACAAGCCCCTAGGTTGAAATTGTAATATAAAGACATTTATTTCTTACCTATTCACCAGTTCTTTGGGGGTAGCAGTTAATTGTATTTAAAAAAAAAAGCTCAGATTTCTTATCAATTTGGTTCTAATTCTAGTGCCAGATCTGTTTTGGAGAATAAGTTACTTTACTTGGTTGAGGCTGTCTTGCATTCCATTATGTGGTAATACCTATGCTATAAAAACTCACCAAACCAAACTTGCTGCCATTGAGTCGATTCCAACTCATAGCAGCCCCTCCTTGGGTATCTGAGGTGGTATCTCTACAGAAGTAGATTGCCCATTCTTCCTTCTGGCTTGTGGGTTTGAACCACCTGCCTTCTGGTTAGTAGTCAAATGCCTTAGGCACTACACTACCAGAGAAAAATAAAAACCAAATTCACTACCAGCAAGTCGATTGTGACTCATCGCAGCCCCAGGTGGGTTTCCGAGTCAGCAAATCTTTACAGAAGTAGATTGCCCTGTGTTCCTTCTGCAGAATGGCTCGTGGGTTTGAACCATTTTTATAAGCCTCTGGTTAACAGTCAAATGCTTTGGGCACTATGCCACCAGAGCTCTTTATGTTGTTGTTTGCCATTGAGTCAGACTTGACTCATAGCGACCCCTTCTTGGGTTTCTGAGGCGCTTTCACGACAGAAGTAGATAGCCTAACCTTCCTTCCAAGCAGTGGCTGGTGGGTTTGAACTGCCAGCCTTCTGGTTAGCAGTTAAGTGCCTTTGGCACTACGCTACCAGAGCTCCTTATAGGATGACTAAAACTATGTAGCAGATTACCTGGTGTTTAGTAGTTCCACAAATAACTGTCACTGTTTGTTTTCTATAAATTCTTTAACCCAGATCACTCTATTTTTTACATCTTTTATTTTCCCAAAAATGTTAGTCATCCCTATTTATTGCATCAGGAATCACTACACTATTAAGAATTCTATTTTTGATGCTCTGACATTGGAGTTTTGAAACTAGAAGGGAAAGAAGTACTTTCCGAGAAATCTTTAATTTTTACCAATCAAAAATGTCTTTAATGAGATGCATTTTCTTACATTCACTCCTCTCCTGGTTTTAGTTTGGTTTTAAATGTTGCAATTTTAGGGAGATTGAGACATAAATTTAATTATGAAAACTTGGAGCCATACTAAACATCCTTTTTTTGGTTAGCACCCCATGGGCCTAGGCTTTTTCAGATGCTGTTAACAGCAGTTTCATGTAATGAGATGAATTAAAGATCAACTGTGGATTTGGGGATGTAACTCCTTAGATGACTTAAAATGTTCTCCATTATAATGAAAAACTGAGGTTCTTTAAAACTTAAATCTAGTGCTTGTAAGTTGCTGGATTTACCTTTAAGGTTTTTATGTCCCCCTCTACCCTTTAGCCCAATAGCATGCTTACAGTTTTGAGCATGGCAGGAACAGGTTTACATGATACTTGAAAATGTCATTGATAAGATATGTTACTTTTAAGAGATCTTGTTATTTGTTTTTACTTCATAGTTTTGAAAGCTGTTAGGTGGTGTCATTGGCTCCAACTCACAGTGACCCCCGTGTACAGTAGAAAGAACTGTGCCTGGTCTTGCACCATCCTTACAATCATTGTCATGCTTGAGCCCATCGTCACAGCCACTGTGTGAGCCCATCTCATTGAGGGTCTTCCCCTTTTTTTGCTGACCCTCTACCAAACATAGTATCCTTTTCCAGGGACTAGTCCCTTCTGATATGACCAAGCTGTGAGAGATGAAGTCTGGCCATTTTCTCTTTCAAGGAACGTTTGGCTTTACATCTTCCAAGACAGATTAGTTTGTTCTTGTAAGGTCCATGGTATTTTCAAAATTCTTCACCAGCACCAACACTGAAATGCATCAATTCTTCTGCAGTTTTC